AACTTGTCAAAAAAATTGTGTCTGTACTTTTGCTTAAGGGTGTGTGGTAAGAATTTGCCTTTCTCTTTCAAATATACTGCCAGTCAGTTGGTAGAAATGGTCTCTGAATGGAGAAAAGTGCCAATTTTTAATTTCTAATTTCTCATATTCAGAAACACTTGCCTCCTTAAGCGTACAGTATATATATCTCATCTCTGCCATATTTGCCCAAATGTCATGGGTTTCCTGTCTTCTTATCTCGTTCCTCTGAGAGCAGAATTGGTGAGGGTTTGTAGGCGAGATTACCTGTTTGTGTATCCACAGGTACAATAAAGAGTTGTGTTGTTGCTGCTGACTGTTGACTTTAAGTAGGGCTATGCAACAAGACGACACTTCATCTGCCCTGTAGCTTTACCCTCTGGAATCTCCAGGTTCAGGCTTTAGTGTGACTGCGACCAAATTTTACATTTATGTATGAAGAGTTGTAAATTGTATTATATGATGTACAGTGAATTGACAACACACACTGAGGCACAAATGGTAAAGCTGATATATGTGAATCACAGGGCATTTTTGAGGTTGGCAAGTTGAATGCATGATGCCTAACCAGATAGAACCACTCAAAATATAAAACTGTGTTCTTTCCAGACTTGGGTCAAGTTATATTTCTAAATATTTTTTCTGTATTTAAACTTGTTAAAAAAAAAACATAAGTAGGATTAATGGTGGTTTTAGTGTGACATATTCTGTCAATAGCAGAGGGCTGAACTAACATTTTATATCATGAACAGAGCTCTACACACGCCTAAAATACCAATGCAAAGCCTGTTCCCATGTTCTTAAGAGCTAACCTGACTGAACTGGTGCTGCCAGATTTGAAACCCCCGACCTGAGGCTATATTTTGACTGTTAGCCCACCAGGCTAACGCAACACATTGGCTACACTCTGACTCTGTCCCTCTTCCCACTGGGCATAACAAATCTACTTAAAGGATAAAGCTGGCAATATTCTATAGTTTTGTTATTGTCAACAAAACCAACAATGTGTTAATCTGTCTTACGGTATTTTCCTGCCCCGTCTGTGGCACTCAGCCCCAAGCACATTGGTTCTTACTGAAAAAGTGAATCTTAAAAAACTTATCACAAATGTATAGTTTTATGTCTAAAAAAGACTTCCTTAGGTGGCCATCCTAGTTTTCAGCAAACGTAACTTAAACAAGAGTAAATAGTGCATCATTTGTTGGGAACTATTTTCAGCCGTGGAATTGAATGCTCCAGGGATTGGCAGCAGGATGGTGTATGTGGGATTGATTAAAGTAAACTACAGTGTGTGTGTGTGTATGTGTGTGTGTGTGTGTGTGTGTGTGTGTGTTCATGGTAATGAAGGAACACCCAGTAAAACAGTATGGATCACTGATGTGTTTTTAACAGTTTCTAGAAACAATATAACTCTATCACAGAATCAGCTTTATATCAGGTTTTGTTTACACAGACAAACGTAACCCTTTAAAACACATGATATAGTTGATTGACAAAAAAACTAAGGTTTTTATGAGTGAGGGAATTTTTGAACATTGAAACAATGGAACTATTTGAATGAAACAAATGTTGCACATGCATAGAAGGATTAGCTATCATTATGTGTATTTTGAATCTAAATACAGATTAGATCAAAAGTACAGACCCTCAGTGCTTTGTGTATTGTCCTGGCTTGACTCATAGCAAGTTTATGAACATATAAATTATTTGCAAATATTATTTGATCCAAGTCTGATTATTTCCCTGTTTTATTTTGACTTCCTGTTGTCTCATACGTGTGCAATCTATTTGATGGATCATCTAAAAGGAGACATTCTAGACTTTAAAGCAATAAGGTCTAATTGCAGGCGTGGCTCTGTTCTTTCTAAAGGTAACATAATAGATTGCTTGTCGTCATGGTCTTGAAACGTTTCTGTAAGTTGCCATATTGGAGCAGAGCTTTGTGTGTATCTCTACGGTAGAGTTTAAAAAAGATCCTCCATTTTCAGACCTCTAACGAGCCCTACATGAACAGGAGTTTTCCTCTTACAGTTTTACAATGGCTGCCCCCTCTGGACATGTCCTGTTTGCATGTTCTGAAATGAAAATGTGCATGTGCAAAAAAAAGAGGCATTGTTTGACTTCATTCAGTCCATGATTTGTACAATTTGTTTCCTGGTTGTATTTCTGATTATCTAAACACACAATGTATCTGTTTCAGGTGAAGAAAAGAAAAAAAAAGAGCTTGAATAACATTTTATCACAGAACCACCAAAGTGGGAAACAAGGCTCTTTCTCAGAAAAGAGGTTCTGGTGTGGCTGAATCCTTCGCTGCCTGATCTGTTACTTGACTGTCTCTCCCACAGTCATTTCGACTGTACCTATAGATTTTGTATGAATATAAGTCCTTAAATAAAGAGGTATGATTATGAAATTACAAGATGTAGATCCCTGAAGATTGCATTGAAATGTCTTATGATTAGGTTTGGGTTTTGATAGTATTTATTGAATCTGAATCCAATACTGATACTCCATATTCCTCACGAATGTTGTTAGGTAATAGCTCTCTACAATTTTAAAGTTAACAGCCATTATTAATAACTTAAAGGACCTGTGTGTAGAATTTAGTGTCATCTAGCATTGCAACTGAATTGTAACCAGCTGAATACAGCTCAGCCCCCCAAGTGTGTAGGATAAACTATGGTGGCCACGAAACTCGCCGTATGTAGGCAAGTGTTGGCCAGTGTTGGTCCGTTCTGAGCTAACCTAGAAACATGGCGGTTCAACGTGGCAGACTCTGTGGAGGACCCGTTCCCTCTGTAGATAAAAACAAGTCATTCAGAGATAACAAACACACACCAATGACAATTCCCTTTTCTGCCAATAGATCCTCCTAAATGTTACACACTGGACCTTTAATACGGGAGAATTAAAACCAAGTTTTACATTTGGAAACAAAACTTGGGTGTGAGATACATTCTTAAGTTAAAAGTATGTTTCTTACATTGCAGTGCATTACAATAGGTCACTGATGATGTTATTCTAAGTGTCTGACAACATTATGAAAAGGATCCCTACAGAAATGGAGCAAGATGAGATTTCTGATTCCAAGATTTCCGAGCGTGACTCCTGTTCCTGGTAAAACAAAAAGGATCTTACGCTTAACAAAAAATGTCTCTTACTGGACTTCTGATGGGAACAATTGCCCCCAAGGATTATGTTGCAGTCATTGCATCAGTTCCGCGGCTGCTGGCTGCGGCAATCTACTGGACCAATTCTAAAACTTTATTATGTAAAAATAGGGCCCAGGTTTAAACATCCAGGGGAAATCTTAACACATCCAATCCAATTCCACCACTAGACAGGTTGCACATGGCTCAAACAAACATGTTTCTGTTTGGTATGAAGATGGTAAATTGGTGCTATCATGACAGATCTCACTGTAAATCTAATGGACAAACATTTAGATATTATATATATATATATATAGATAGATAGATATGGGGCCTTGCTGCGGAGGCCATGGGTTTGGGTCCAACCTGTGGCCTATTGCTGCTTGTCATCCCTTTTATCTCTCCCCCTTTCCTGTCTATCTTGAGCTGTCCTATTAACATAAAGGCAACAAAGCCTCCACATTTTTTTTTAAAGGGTTGGAGAATAATTACCCAACTCTCCAGCTCCCTGGCTTTACCTTGTATTCATTCGATTCTCTATCCTCATAGCTCTCAACTGTTTTCAGCCAGGTGGAGACCAAAAACAGAGCTAAAAGGAGCAGGACTATTGTACATTTATCAGGTGGTCACAAACACAACTCCAAATTAATGAGAATATTGATGAATGTATATATAGGCAAATGATTGCTAACAATCTTGCCATATCGACTTAACAGGTCATACGTCAATGCGGTTATGGCCCGGATGTTTCCAGTTCTTTCCCTCCCTTGTGTTATTGTGTGTGTGTGTGTGTGTGTGTGTGTGTGTGTGTGTGTGTGTGTGTGTGTGTCTGTTTGTTTGTCTGGGTGTGGCTCTCCAATCATCATCCTCCTGCTGCAATCACCTGCACACCCATATCCCATCCACTAACCAACACTCTGCAGTATGTCATCCCCGGCTCTTCAACCCACATTGTTCAGTCTGCTAATGTGGTACAGACACCACGGCCAATCTCAGGGTCTAGTTTTGATTATTCCTCATTTAGCCATTTTCTCCTGTCTGACATTGTGTCTCCTGTGCCTCAGGTTCATTCATCCCTGGATCTTGTCTGTCTGTCTCTCTGTCTGTCTGTCTGATGCCAGTGCAGTTCATTCTGCCTGCCCTCCTCCTCCTCCTCTCTGGCTCATTTCACTCCACCTCTGCAATCTTTCTGAATAAATCAACTATGAACTTTTTTTCTGTTAGTAAAAAAAGTTCACAGTTCTGCTTTTATCTTCTGAAGACTACCAAAAATTAACAAATGTTGTGTTCACAGCTTGTTTCCCTAAAAGAAGCTAAAATGTCATTTATTTCAGATTTAATGAAAGTGCAACACTAAATGGCATGCCCTTAAGTAGAGTTAAAAGAGTAAATATAAGAGTAGAAAGAACAGTGGGAGCTTATGTGATACTGTAATCCTGTCATCTATACAAACATGTACAGTATGCATTACTCTGTCTGGTACTTAACCTATGTTATACATTCTAGCTTTCATGTGCTACCAATCAGCAGAAAAATTAGGATTATATGACTCCACGTTGGTCATTTAGCTCCAGTGTTGTCTCATGCAGCGGTATAATCAGACTGCAGTGATGAAAGGTCCAACTATCTCTCAGAGACTAAGAAAGGCTCAATCTTTCTAATTAAAACGGAACAATTTGCAAATAGGTTGCAGACAGGCTTTAAAATAAAAAGGGCGGGGGCTCTGCAGGGTTTTAATTGGTCCACATTAGAAGAAGGGGGCGGGGCCTTCGCTGGCTCGCTGGGTGCCTCGGTGATGTGATACAGCTGCAGGAGGAGAGAGCCTGTGGCTGCCTGAGGAAGAGAGGTGAAGAGGATGACAACTTAGTCTGTATCGCAGTCCAAGTTCAAGTGCCGTCCAACGATGTTCCTCACTTCGACTTTTAACTAATGAGAACCACACTAGAGCTGGGTTTACGTCCAGAACACATTTTGGCTCTCTCTTTTGCATGTCTTTAAAACTTAATTACAAAGGTGATTAAACCGGGAAGATGTTCAGCTTGTTGTTGAAATGGACACTTTGCCTTCTCGGGCTCACAACGACGAGCAGCGCCTCACCTGACGATGCACCGGCGGATTTTGGAGGCGAGTCCGGCTCCGGGATGCTGCGCGCAGGTAAGAGTGGTGCTACACCTGCGGAGCCTCTGGACGGCTGTTTCTTTAAAGTGCGTCACATTAAAAACGATTTACATTGTAGCTTTCAGAGTGGAAATGAAGCCAATTCTGTGTATAATTGAGTTCCTCTGAGTGAACAAGTCAACTCTTTAACATTTAACTCCAACAAAGACTGAAATTAAAGAGTTTGCTTTGAAGTAGAGTGACTGACAGCTAAAGTTATCTAGTATATTAAAAACTTGTGGAAAATGAAATTTAAATTCTGAAACCAAAATCTACTGTTATGTAACATAAAACAAAAAATTGTTCTCTTGAGAACCCACAAAAATATAAATTCTACTGTGAAAAGTGACCCTTTCCTTCATCGTCCTGTGTAAACTGTGATTTCCCCAGTCATTACAGATTTGCTGGTGCATTAATAACAGAGCTACATTGGGGCTCATGTAGGAGATTTGATCAGCTGGAGCTGATTACATCATTTTGTTCAGTGCAGTTTGTGTCCAAATGAAACTCTTCCACTTCCCATCAGCCATCTCTCTGCAGCCTCAGTCAGTCCAACTTCAATGTTGTAACTCCATATATCCATCTCATCGCTCTCCGCTGTGAGACTGAACCCAAAACACTTGTAAACTGAGTGAATAACTTTGTTTGGCAGGCTGTGACGACTGAATTCAGACCACAATGAAACAAGGCTTCAACTATTTTCACTACAGGCCAATTGTATTTCTTCAATTACTTTAACAGCTCCTCAAAGAGAAAAATACTAATTAAGAATTGTTTGTAGAGCACATTTGTAATTCAAATTAGCAGCCTGCTGTTATTTATTCAGCACCAACAAGTCTACTCATAAATTTAAAGCCTTTAAAACCAAAATCTATCTGAGGTGTTTCATTAATGTGCCGTTCACGCTGTTAAATGCTTCACTAACCTTGCAACCATAACACAGCCTTAGATGTGTACTGTTACTGCTGTCTCGCCTCTCAACATGAAACTTAATTGTCAAAAAACATTTGTTCAAAGCTGCCAAGTCCATTAAATCAGATTGAGCCAAGATAAAATCTCTTATCTCTGATAGCGAATTAAAATCCAGACGAACAATCCAGACTTCTATAGAGGAACACACACAGTTGGATAACTTTCTGTTTATGTGACCCAAAAGAGACGTTTGAACTTGCTGGATACATCATGCACACGAAATGTGTTTAGTTTGCATAAAACACATGAGGAAACTGAAGCCAAAACTCATATTAAATCATATGGAATGCTTTTATTGTGCCAAGCAGACTTAGTTAATCACAACATGGTTTTCCTCAGCCAGCTCTGTTGTGTCCTCAGTGTTTTCAGTATTTGGATCTCCTTTGTTTTATCAGGACTGTTGATACAGTGACAGTAGTATACATGCTGTAGCTTTACTTTGTGGTTCTGAGCTGGATTGGATTTGTTTAATCCATCCATGACCTGTTGAAATTGATCTTAAATTGGAGCTCTGCCAGGCGCCCAGAGTATGTCATGTCTGGATTCCAGAGCATCACACATGTTTATTTTACAGTTTGGTCTTTGTCACATTTCCTCATTGCTATCATCTGTAGGCGAGACATCAGAGACATCAGAGCAGGGGACCAGTTGAGAGTTTGGATTAGGCCGATGAAGTGACAGATGAGTCCTGCAGCGTGTTGACCGAACTCAGCCTGTTGAATGTTTCCACTGTGTGTTTTCGGAAAGTTACCGTAGATGGCATAGCGTCAAAAGCCTTGTGTAAACTTTCACTGTATATCACTGAATACCCCGATGGTTATGTAACACTGCTGTAATAATCTACTTGCGTTTATTGTTATTGTTCAGCTAAATCTCGCCCTGTTTCACGTATCAGGTAACACGTAACTGAACTGATTTGGAAATGTGTGATTTCTGCTGATACAATGATTCAAGCCAATTTAAGATTGTCTACAGCAAAATGTTGCTGCGGAGGTCAGCTTGTTAGCTTGTTTGACTCGCAGAGCTGTAGGACCTACACATGTGGTTCACAAAGTCATGTGAGACCAGATGCCGACTTCATGTGGGGATTTTGGGAACTTTCCATATTGGCGACATGAACCAGTTTGAACTCCAAGATGAAATGATCTCAGGTGACTTGGAAAGAAATCCATCTTTCAACATTATGGCACTGTAGTGCATACTGTAATTGCAGTTTTCAGTCAGTGCTAGACTTGCTGCAGGTATGCTCCTTATTCCTGCATTTATTAATTTTTTTTAGTAGTTTTATATAGCAGCTTTCAGGTTAGGAAGGTTTAAATAAAAGAGCAGAAAAAACAAGAGAACCTATCCCCTACTATTGTGCAAGAGTCACTCACCTTCATATTTGCACCCGCTATGACTGCAATGAATCACATATACCTACATGAAGCATTCCTTTTAAACCAGGTGTGCTGAATTGCATTCATTTACACAATGACATTTAACCCATAATTTCTCTACAGAGGATTTATCTGATCTACTGTTAGTATTGCCCAGGACACACCTGGTGAGGTGTTACAGGCAGGCACTTTAAAGAAATAGTAGGTAAGTGATTGAATGAACCATCTGTCTGTCTGTCCATCTATCACTAGCTAACTTAGTCAGAACAGTCAGTCAAATCAACGAACCATATAACCTAGTCAAACTTATCAAAGCCTGTCCGGAGACGAGCAAAAACATCTTTTCCATAAAGAAAAGCCTTCAGATATATGGAAGATAAACTTTCCAGGTGTGATGAAACTGTCCACCCCTGAAGCTGCCAGTACTTCCTCAAAGGTTGCTGAATGGTGCAGTGCCACTGTACTCAACACAACTGCATAAATCTGAGCAAGATGGATTCTAGCATGATTTTGCCATCTCCTGCAAGGAAAAGTTTCAGCGTCATTATTATGCATACCCCACGTAGTCCTTTGATAAAAGATACACCCTGCAGATGCGCTGGGACAAATCAACAGTGATAGAACCTGGGGTCATTGGGTCTTTTGGGTCTTTCAACATCAGACACCCTCGCTGAGGTGACCCAGCCGGGTTTGATCAGACCCAAGCTTGCATCCCAGCGGCATTGGCCCACAGATCTGCCCTCTTAATCCACTTCCACCTGGTGGCTTTCTCTGCAGCTTCAGTAGCACATCTGATAGCCGTCCTCTTTGCCTCCTCTGTGATGCCCAGTAGTGTGAATGCTTTGCAGAGTGGACACACTGCAAATATTTGGACGCCATCTCCCACAAGCTCTTGTTACTTGGTGCGCTTCCTCTCGTTGGCTTCGTCCATTCGCACTTCCCATTGCACTGTGAGCTCCAAGATGATCAGTTGCTTGGTGGACTCTGAAACAATGATCATGTCTAGTTGAAGCCGTGTTACTTGGGCTGAGAACTTCAGCTGTTTGCGCAGGGCCATTTCCAGTTGCCAGTCTGTGTCCATAGTGAGGAGTACTGACACTGTAGGTTGTGTATATAGGGCTTCTCGCCAGCTCTGAGGAACATGATGTTCTTCGGCTTGTGGTGGCTATTTTTGGTGTTAATGGCTGTGGCTTCACTCTCAGCAACCGCCTTGAGCACCTGGTCATGGCGCCAGCGATGGCGCCCATCTCCAGTAGTTTTTCGGGCAGCTGCTAAGGAGGTTCACAAGATTCGTCTTCCAGAAAAACGAGGGCAGGAGCGTGTTTCACTTTTGCCACAGATGTAAAAGTTTGCTGGACTGGGTAGGGTATCGTAGACACCTTGGACACACAATAAATTGTGGAAATGATCGGAAGTGTAGTGGAGGTGCGCACAATTTCAGGATGATTGAGATGTATGAGGGGAAAAACATGTGGAACAGACGTGCGCAAGGTTCGTAAATCTTACTAAAAGACTGTGTGCGTGTTTCCTGTTTTGTGTGTACAACAATTTCTCATCTAAATAATTCAAGTTTTATGCGTCTGGCCCCAGGTGTTTCTGTCATTTGCAATCCATCCATCCTTCCAGGTCAGCCGTATCTAGCTGTGATATGTGACTCCCACATGTCAGGAATAGCTTACTGTAACCTCTGACCCTATGAGATCAGTATCGCAAGAGTTAGTTTGCAGTTTGCAGTTTGCAGAACAGCTGTTCTGCTGAAGAGTTGTGTGGTGAAGAGGTCTGCCTGTGTCTGAGTGTCTCCATACCGCTCAGCATCACCCATCCACTCACCTGACAGCTACCCCAGCACTAACACACTTTCTTCAGAAGTGTAAATTGCTGACTAACCTTCTTGACCTTCTGCGTGAGAGTGTCAGGTGATTCTTTTCATGCATCTTTGGGATTTTGGGAAGGCATCATTTCACAGACATAGCTGTAAACTTTTCGATCGTATATACTCTAGATGACATAAATGTGCTTTAGATTATCCAACTTCAAAAATGTTTTGCCCTTCTAGTGGTGGCCCCTAAATATGTCGGCCCTTTGAAACCTCACAGAAGATATCTTGAAAACTACCGGCCAGATTCTCATGAAATTTGATGTGGAACATTATCCCAAGATGATTATTCCTAATAATATTTAGGTTGGATCTTGACTAAAGCTATAATGATTAGTTAAATTTTTGATTGACACAAAATTAATCAGCAACATATTTTATTATTCAAGTCATTTTTTAAAGAAAAAAGCAAAACATTCACTGCTGTTTCTTACTCTTATGCCTTAACCTATGATTATGAATTATATTCTGTAGGGTATTTAGGGCCATCACTTAAAAAAAAAAAACCTGAATAGTATCAGTTTGACAAGGTTGTACACTTAATGCTCCACAGATTTGTCTTCATTGTAGAGTAAGACAGCTGCTTTTTACAAAGTCGACAAACAGCCTCATCTTTCTTAGGGTCTACGGTGTAGAACCCAAAATACTACCACATACTGATTTGCTTTTCTCGCTAGTGTCCTCCCATTTTTGTAGTAAACGTAACATTATTAGCATAATTTACTGCCCTCTGCTGGCTCACAAGGCAAACTACTTCAAATGGTCTTTTG